AGGCCACATAGGGGTGAGTACAAAATGGGAATTTCTGTAGATGACCATCGAGTATTAGATGTATAGACGACGCAAAGCGGAAGGGAAGGGTATCTTTAGGTTTTTTTTTCTTAGGTGAAGGTCTATTATAAGTTATTACATAGATCCTTCGGGATTCAGTACCACTTGTCCAATCCCCTTTTTAAGAGTTGAAACTCTTGTCTTTGTCTCCAAGATGCCCAGCAGTTTGTCTTATTCCGTGCGTATCCCATATGCTGTAGCTATGACTTTATTCTGCCTATTATAACTTTTACTTATCTGTTTATCTTATCTAGATGTGTGACAACCTTTTTTTTATGGGTCTACTTAGCTGTAAGATTAGTTAATGGAGGGATGCTGTGGCTGCTGGTTGTTCTCAGAGAAAGGAAAGGAGAAATAAATGAAACGTTGGGCTTTCATTATCTAGTTGGCATTCACACACACACACACACACACACACACATCACAACATTCACACACCACACAACACACACTACATTCTTACACCACACTCACCATACACTACATCACATACACATGATTCACATGCTATCATCTCACTGTTTCAGAGACGATTGTATTCTGAGAAAAAAAAAAGAATCTAGCATTCATACTTGTCATGGATAATAAATCTCCAACCAGCACATCCTTACATAAAAAAACTGGCCACCATAATCTAATTAAAGCACTGTTGCGTCGAGGTGAAATCACTGCTGCCTCTACAACGTCGCCCTGGCTTAGGCTTGGTCGCAGCGGTGGGACGAGAGCTTGGCGTATCGACCGTAGACCGCTTTCACTTGCTCTACGCCGAACTGGCCGTAGATGTAGATATTCTCGGAGGAGTGTCCCAGGGTCTTGAGGGCGTGCACGCAGGACACAGACATGGTGGGACCGCCGCACACAACGATCTGTTTGGCCAAGAGACAGTAGGTTATTACCTAAAGTTAGTCATTATTAATGATCTATAGAAGTTAACTCTCGCAGTAATACCGGTGTAGCTTTTAGATAGTGCCTGTCTACTGGTGAACGTATTTTTATTTACTTGTTCATTTATTCATATATCTATTTATTTATCTGTTCATCTATCTATCTATCTATCTGCCTATTTTTGTTTCTTTATTCGTCAATCTGTTTATCTATTCATCTATTAATTCACTTATCTATTTATTTATCAATTTATATATCAATCTATCTATTCATTGTATCACCGAGGCTAATGATAAACCAGAGCGGAAGCCTCGCCTTGTGCTTGATCCCGTTTGGCTTGGCGACGTGTCTGTCGATCATCTGCGAGTCGATGAAGCCCTCCTCGCCGTCCCATCCCTCCGGCGTCTCCCCCAGGGTGTAAACGACCTTGATCTTCTCTCCCCCCTTGGCTGCGAGGTCGTCCAGCTCCTCGCGGTGAAGGATATCCTCAATGGAGTCCACGTAATACAGGAGCATGACCCTCGTGTTGTCCGAGGGGTCCTGGGCGACGCAGCGGAGCAGCTGGAGCCCCGGGGTGACTCCGCCCCCCGAGGCCAGCACCGTCAGCACCTCCAGCTGATTGGGCTCGTACTCCAGGCCGCCGCACGGGCCCTGGAAGTCCACCTTCTCACCTGCGAGGGGGACGTGGTTGATAGTCTACATGAACTGAATTCATCTCTTTGTAGACAATATATTTTTCTTTTATTTATCTACACTTTAGGATAAAATGGAGACGTCATATGTTACTTTTCACTTACAATTCTGCGAAGGAATCTTTCCAAATCTCCCCTGACAATAAACACAAATATACTGGAGCACAAACCTCTTTCAGGGTACGAAACCCTATTTTTCCTTACGAACGAAACACCTCGACCTTCAGCAAAACAACTAAGCATTTCAGCCGCCCTTACCGGCTGAAGCGCCTTTGAAGAAGTTTCGAGACCGATGCCCTGGGACTCGAACCTGAGGGACGAGCTCGACGCGGCCGAAAGTCCTTGAGGGCGAGACACGGGCGAGAAGTAGCGCAGGTGGTGCTTGCCGTCGACGGTCACTCGCACCTGGAGGTTGACGTTGGTGTCATTATCATTATCATTGTCATTATCATTATTATTATCATCATCTATATCACATCATCATCATTTTCATTCATCATCATCATCATATATCATCATTTATCATCATCATCAATCATTCATCCATTCATTCATTCATTTCATCATCATCATCATCATTACCGGTAAGACCGTAATTGTTATTATCACCATCCCAAAATTTATTACAAACATCAAACCCTTAGCATTATATTCAATAACAACATTATCAATGGCCACAAATTTACATGGTAAGGATAGCTACCACTAGTAACGTAAAAACTATCATTCAAGTACTACGCATTCCATATTATTATTGAATACTATTATCAAGTAGTAAGTACTATTGATCATGGCATTATCATTTTCATACAACCATTATTAAGCATTTAGTACTACGTATCATTAATTAATTACATATCATTATTCACTATCATTCGCTATTACCATTTAGTACTAAGTATTCCGTATTTTCATACAGTATTATAGTTAAGTTCCGTATGACGTGTTCCCGTATTACCGCCTTCTGCACGTCACTCACCGCAAGGAACTGTCCGGGGAAGCATCCTGTGTGGTCCGTGCCCCTGGGGAGGGCGAAGACGAAGGAGCTCATCTTGCTCCCGACGTCCTTGCGCGAGACGAGGGCGAGGGGCGTCCAGGTGTCTTGGCGAAGGGCGGCGCTGTGCACCACTCCGTCGGGGGTTTTCAGATCTGTTGGTGGGTGGGAAGGGGGATTGGGACACTTTATTTAACGCTGTTTTGGGAGAAGGGGTTAGGTGTTTTCTTTCTGTTTTTTTTTCTGTTTGTTTTTGGCTGTTTGTCTGTGTGTTTGTGTTTTTTTTTCTGTTTGTTTGTTGGTTTTGTTGTGTTTTCTCTCTTCTTGTCTTTCTTTTTTTGTCTGTTTCTCTCTTCTGTTTTCTTCTCTCTTTTCTTCCTTTCTTTTCTCTTCTCTCTCTCACTCTCTTCCTCCCTCTCTTCACTTTTCTCCCTCTCTCTCTCTCTCTTCTCTCCTCTCTCTCTCTCTCTCTCTCTCTCTCAGTCTCCCCCCCCCCCCTCTCTCTCCAGGTGTCTCCCTCTCCCTCTCCCTCCCTCTGTCTTCCCTTCCTTCCTCCCTTCTCTTCTCTTCCTAACCTGCGTGAGGGCCTTCGGCTGCGCAGTGTTGAAGGGGTTGAGGAAGTCCGTGTCCTGGTGCGGGTGGTTGGCCGAGGCGCCCTGTCGCTCCTGGGACGCCTCCTCCAGCAGGCGACGTCCGATGCGCTCCTTCTGCTCCAGCGTCATTTTCTTGACCTCCTGATGCAGCACGCGCTCGTTGGCGCTCTCCCCCCTGGCGAGCACCCAATTTAGATATAGAAGGAGCAGATATTTGTATATATGATTTTACAATATCAAATTTCATTTTCTGACGAAATTTAGTGTAAGCATTCTTTTGCCCTTTTTATTTCCTTATCTGCTCCATCCACACCGTTAAACCAAAATTATGTATTAATAAATAAATTTAATCAAATAATTTTAAAGAAAATGAATTAAACCATTAAAACAAAACTAAAACAAAATAACACACACGTAGCCCCTTCCTCGCAAGCCCCGCCCCCTTCCTCACCACAGGTCGATGGCGTTGAAGCCCTTAAGAGCTGACATCCCCACCAGATTCTTCAGTAGCTCGTTGCTCGGCGCCATGACCCAGCCCGCCTTGCCGTCCCGGATGAGGCGCTCCAAGCCGAGGTCAGTCTAGGGCGAGGTCAGAAGGGTCATTACTGGTAGATTGGTTGTTGTTAGCTGTGCTGTGTAGCAGACAGATTGATGTGTGCGTGTGAAAAGAGAGAGAGAGAGAGAGAGAGAGAGAGAGAGAGAGAGAGAGAGAGAGAGAGAGAGAGAGAGAGAGAGAGAGAGAGAGAGAGAGAGAGAGAGAGAGGCAGACAGACAGACAGAAAGGCAACCAGACAAAATAAAAAAAAATAAACAAAAACTACATATATATAGATAGATAGATAGATAGATGGATAGATAGATAGACAGATAGATAGATAAATAGATAGATGGATAGATAGATACAACAGATAGATAGATAGATAGATAGATAGATAGATAGATTGAGAGAGAGAGGCAGACAGACAGGCAGAAATAGATAGATAGAGATAGATCGATGGATAGACAGACAGATTGATAGATAGATCGATAGAATGATAGATACAGAGAAGCGAAAATATCCTGGTGTGAACGTACCTTGTAGCCTTCGCCGCCACACGCATACAACATACGGTCCGCCACAACGCTCACGTTCTTGGCTGCCACGAATTTCAGCTGCCACAGCCACGGCAGGAGTTTGCACCTGTGGATCAGTTAAGGGAAGGTATTACCTGTCCTCTCACGCACTCAAGGGACGAAACACATGGAAGAAAAAAAAAAAAAAAAACGTGTAGATTAGAATGGAGAATGGATTTACGCTTTTTGTATAGAAGGAACATTTTTGTTCTAAAATGAATGGAGAAATGTGAATCCGAATGTGGGTATTTCTGAGCTTTGTCTCTCACACAACCTCGCCCTTCACTTCAACCCCACACTTCACCCTTCACCTCACTCTCTCACTTCACCTCATCCTCTCACTTCACCTCACCCACACACCTCACTTCACCCTCGCACTTCACCACTTCACATCAAGCTCTCACTTCATTTCAACCCCACACTTCACCTCACCCTCACCTCTCACCTCACCCTCACCCTCTCACCTCACCATTACCCCTCACCTCTCACCCCACCCTCACCCCTCACCCCTCACCCTCACCTCACCCTTACCCCTCACCTCATCCTCAAAACCCCCCCGACGACCCACCTGGGGAGGTAGTTGATGTCAGCGTGGGGTGCCCAGTCGTTGTTGTTGGTGGCGTCGTCCAGGGACTTCGCCAGCAGGAACGCCATGCTTCGAGAGCTGTTGGTGTCGATCAGGGACTCGCCGAAGTAGTCCTTGAGAGCGACGGGAAGGCGAGAGGTTTATGCTATGGATATTTGGACGATACATGTATATATATTGATATGTATACATGTGTTTAGGCGGATGGATAGATATATAGGTAGGTAGGCAGATAGATAGATAGAGAGAGAGAGCAAAGTTAATGAATAGCCAAACAAAATAAGATCCCATATACTTCAAAATTAAACAAAATTCCACATAAAAAAAAAGAAAAAAATCAGCATGGCTCAAAATAAAATAAAATTCTAGGTCTCAAAAAAGAGGAAAACATAGCTCAAAACGAAACAAAATCCCACATGGCCCAAAATAAAACAAAACCACCTTTCTTAACATAAAACAAACTCCCACATGAGCCAAAACGAAACAAAATCCCACATGGCCCAAAATAAAACAAAACTCCACCTTTCTTAACATAAAACAAACTCCCACATGAGCCAAAACGAAACATAATCCCACATAACAAAAACAGACAAACAGACAAACAAACAAATAAGTAAAAACAAAAACAATATTCCACCTTTCTCAACATAAAACAAACAAAAAACATAAAAAAATACTTCACCATTCTTAACATCAAGCAACATTCCCCGAGGCTCACCTGGATGACCGGGTAGTCGCACACCCTCATCCCGACGTCCGCGTGTGCCCGCCTCGTCACGCTCTTCTTGCCGACGTCGATGCAGCCGAGGGCGATGCCGTTCCAGCAGCTGGACGTCAGCAGGAGGAAGCTGGAGTCGATGCATTCTTCCATGTTCTGAGGAGAGAGGGAAAATGGGAAAGAAGAAAGGGGAAATTTTTCCTGTGTGATTATGTCTTAAGTTTTTTGTCTTCCGTATTCTAAGGAGAGGGAAAATGATGAAAGAGGAAAGGGGAAATTTTGCTTGTTTGATTAGGTCTTTGGGGTTTAGGAGGCTGAGGCGATGCATCATTCCATGTTCTGAGGGGAGAGGAGAAAAGGAGGAAAGAAGCAAGGGGAAAACATTCCTGTTTAATTTAGGTCTTTGGGTTTTAGGAGGTTGAAGCGATACACTCTTCCGTGTTCTGAGGAGAGAGGGAAAATGTGAAAGAAAGGCAAATTTTGCTTGTGTGATTACGTCTTTGTGTGTGTGTGGGGGGGGGGGGGAGGAGAGAGGGGAAAATTCGTGATTGATTAGGTCTTTGGGTTTTCAGCAAATTAGAGTCGATGCACACTGGTGTTCTGAGGAGAAAGGGGAAAGGTGGAAAGGGAAAATACGTCAGCTTGATTAGGTCTTTTTTCAGGAAGGAGTCGATGCACTCTCCGTGTTCTGAGGAAAAGGAGGAAAGGAGAAAATACGTCTGTTTGATTAGGTCTTCGGGGCTTTAGGATCTACTGGACAATTGAAGCCCTACCTTGGTGAACTCTCGTGGTTTGATGTTAACCGTTTTACTGAATATTAATGATGACCCTGTTCAGTAGGACATAGAAGAGAAAATGGTAAATACGTCAGCTCGATTAGGTCTTCGGGTGGGTGGCGGGTGTTAGGGTATTTTAAAAAGTCGATGCTTTATTCCGTGTTCTGAGGGGATACTGGAAAAAGAAGGACGAAAATGCATCTCTTGGATTATGTCTTTTTTCATATTTATTGATCTATTTATATATTCTTATTCTATTTTCTTAGGAAGTTGGAGTCAATGCATTATTCCGAATTCTGAGGGGAAAGGGGAAAGGAGAAAGGGGAAAGAGATTTAAGGTCTTGGGGTTTCTTTGTGGGGTTATCCGTTGGTGAGGTTTCCCCGATTTCTTGATAAAGGGATTGCAGTCTCCTTTTGCAACTGTTTTACTGAATATTCGTGTTTCTGTTCCCTAGGGCGTTGGGGCGGTAAGCGGGAAATACATCTGTTTCATGAGGTCTTTGTTTTTTTTTTAGGATCAGCTGGTCTTGTGAGGTTCGCCCTGGGTGGGATTTCGTTTTTTTTTTTGTAATAGTTTTATTGTATGTTAGTGATTCTGTGAATGACCTTTCGCGTTAGGGTTCTACGTATCCTTAATCCTTATAGCCTACGTCCTTTGCAATAATGACTCTTAGCATGTAACACTTGAATAAATAGGTAGATAAATAAGTAAAAAAAGAAAAAGAAAAAAAAAGAATACACACACACACATACAGACACCCCTTCTCCCCCCCCCCAAAAAAAAAAAAAAAAAAAAGTAACCAGAAACCCGCAACAAAACAAACACGCCCACAGGCCTTCCACGCCCACCTTCCTGCCATCTCCCGGCGGCCCGATCATCCTCTCGACGTCGAACCTGCCCTCCACCAGCAGCGGACCCGACATGTTGGCGTGCATCCCCAGGGCGCTCCACTCATCCGACGAGGCGCGGATCTCGTCCTGGGGAATGTAGGTGGATGAGTGGGTGGGTGGAGGGGTGGATGGAGGGAAAGGGGGTTAGAGGGAGGGAGAGGGAGGAGGGGGGGGTTAGAGGGGTGGAGGTAG